TATATTGTAACTGTCCTAGGGCATTCAGAGTTGACAGCGGGGCTCTATGCAGTCATGGACAGGTCCTGTGTACTGAAAGCAGCAATAGTGACAGAATTTGCGCACCAAACAATATTGCTAAAATTCATTAATTTTAAGGTAAATAAATATTTTCAATAAAAGTAAATTTCACTCACTTTATATCAGCTATTACTTAGCAAATGGTGAGTTCTGGGTTCCATGCCTAGGATTGTGTCACAGTACAACAAACACAGATTTTGAAGGTTTGTCCATTCACCAAGACCCACTCTCCAGTAAAAGCATTTAACCCGTGGCAGTTATCTGCTTATTTGGGTCACTAACGTTAAGCCCACAGTAATTTAGCAGCTGCTCATTACACCTGTTCTCCTAAACCTGGACTGAGCTATCCGATGTACTACTGGGAGTTTATTTCAAGTCATGAAAACAGCAGTCAGCATTTCTCTTAAGTAAACAAAATTTCACTGCTGTATTTTTGACATTTATGATAAAACTTAAAATTTAAATGAATAATGGAGGACAATGACTTTCCTGGGTATCTGTCCCATGTTTACTATGGTCACTCCTCTCCAAATCTAACAGAGGCACTAAAGGTATTTTGCACCCTCATAATAAAAAATAAATACAGACTAAGCTCTTCTTTTAAAGGACAGTGTTCTACACGTAGCCCCAGCTGGTCTGTAACTTGGACTGGAATTCAAAGATCCAGGAGGCTCTGCCTCCCTAGTGCTGAGATGAAAGGTACTACACATCTAGCCTCAAAGTCAAGCCACACCATCAGGTTAAGCATGCAGTGCAGAGAACTGAGAAACACCTGGATTTGGTAAAGCTATTTCCTAGCAAGAGAAACAAAGTAATCACTGTGGGTGCTGGGACTGAGGGAAAGCAAGGGTGAAGGTTCAAATAGGAATGTGCACATGCAGCCTTGAATGCCATCAGAGAAGCAGCAGCCAGCATTAGAGTGCACATGGATTACTAGCTTAGAATCCTCTTCTAGATCCCTCCTAGGACAGGGCATTTACACATGGTTTAGGTAGGTTACACCTGTCAAAGCCCATGCCACACCCACCAGGAACAGAACTGACAGGAATGCTGTCCTCTGAACAGGAGAGGGATTAAACACCTAAAGCAGAGGCTTGGAAAATAAATCGTCCTAAATGACCCCAGGCAGCATGGCCTCCATGCTAGAGATGAGGCATTAGGAAAGAACACAATAATAGTGGATGCTGAGAAGCAATCAGAGCAGAAAACATGAGAGAAACCCCAAATCTCAGAGTTTAGCCATCTAAAATGTCAATAAGCCTGTTCCCTTTTCCTTGCAACATACTGCTGATATCTGTGAGCAAATGTCAGCTGACCTACTTTTGGAGGGTGAGGGTGTGTGTGTGTGTGTGTGTGTGTGTGTGTGTGTGTGTGTTAAAGTTCATTTGTTTAACCACAGCCATCAAAATGTTACATCAGAAATATCACACCAACATTTCTTGAGAATTTAGTCATAAATTCTGACTTCACACAGCTGAACAAATCAAATGAGTCTCCTTTGAACATGACAAAAACCAGATTTAACTCATAACTAATACTGCTGTATATGGAAGTTTGTGAGCTCAGAAAGCTACAGTAAGAAAAAAGTTAAAAACAATGACATGTATGAAAGATGAAATGTAACAAAAGTTTTTAGAAACAATGAAAAACTACTAAGTTTTGAAAGAGAACAGAATTCAAAACAGTGTTCTGAAAAATCAACAAACACACACAACACACCAACCACCATATATAAAGAACTCAAAGCAGGTCTATGGATTAAGTGCATAAGTTAGTTTTACATGTTCAAGGGGGAAAACCAGCAATCCAGACCCTAAGCTGTTAAGTACATGAGTGTAGGATCTGAGGAATGTGAAAAGCAAGAAGGGAAAGAGAATTACATGAACCTTCAATTTCTGTATTCCAGCAGTCGAACTGTCATGACCTGTAGTTGTTAGTATGACATGACACTGAGGAATTTACACATAATCTCCTCTGGACACCGATCTCCTCTTGTTCTCTTCCCCAGAAGTGATTGTCACTGTTACTGATGCAGATGCTTATTTTGTTTTGTTTTTGTTTTCAGTGTGTGTGTGTGTGTGTGTGTGTGTGTGTGTGTGTGTGTGTGTGTGTACTTGCGTAAGAGTTCCTGTGGAGCCCAGAAGAGGGCACTGGATTCCTACAGCTGGAACTACAGGCATCTGTGATTTACTCTGGAATATTAGAACCTCTGTAAGAACAGCACAAGCTCTTAATCCCTGAACCATCACTTTCCAGCACCATCACTTTCTTTCTATTACTTCTTTTCTTAAGCTATCAGCTGCCCAGAGGAAGTACTGAGAATTTAGGTCCTCTGTAAGAGTAACAGATGCTGTCAATTACTGAGCTTCTGATTGTTTTCTGAGACAGGGTCTCAGGTAGCCCAAGGATGTCTCATATTTACCATTCAGCCACTATAGAGGCTCCACAAAGGTTAACATTGATTGTCAAACTAACAAAATCTGGAATCACCTATGAGAGGAGATGAGGGAGAGTGCTACAATTGGGATATAAGGTAAATAAATTATAAAAAATGAATTCATACATATATATATATATATAACAAAAAAGAAAATTAAAAAAGAATATAAATTTCAGAAAAAGAAAGCAAGCAAGGCTTGGCAAAAGTCCAGTATGGGCAATTTGGTGAGCTCCTGCTTCAAACTACAAAGGACATGGGACAACTGGAAATACAGCTTAGCAGCCAAGTGCTTGAGGCCCGGGATTTGACCCCTCTACGGACATATGATATAAAATCAGAGAACAAATAAGGCTTAGGTAACAAAAAAAACGCAGACCACCTGAAGGCCATCCCCACAACTTAGGCCGCACATCTCCACACTGGAGGTGCCCAGAATAGATGAGCCCCCAACACTGCAGAGTTTACTAACACAGGGAACAAAGCCAACCATCCTGACAAGAGTAACAGGAGACATAAAAGAAAAAAATGTCAAAATGGCTTCAGACTCTTCCACATAACTCAAAACTAATGCCCACAAAACTCTGAAATAATGTGATTATAAGCAAGCAGTTGCTGGACAGCCAGCACTTGAGGAGAATAAAGACATTCCACAAGATGAGAGGAGCTCTCCCACACACAGCTCGGGAAGCTAGAGAAGGACCACCACCACCATTAGGAGTGGAGTGTGATGGGGACGGCCCCAGGGATGACCACTAGTCCCTAATACAAAGTTTATGAGTCCTGTCCCATGTATTCCATTTAATGAAAACTAATATTAAAACTTAACCAAATACATTTAGATGACATATAAAGAATTTTTCAGTCAGAACATTTATCCTGTAAAACTGTACTTTAAATCTAAAAGAGTATAATAGTGGAAGAAATAGTTTATTGACTAACAAAGCTACTTAAGTCAGGGAGAAGTTGAGAAATGTCGATTAGTAACTGAATAAACAAAAAGAACTTTATAAGGAAAATGAAAAAGGCCAAAATCTGCTTCTGTTAACTAAACACGAAAGAAACAGACTCTGCTTTTGTTAAAGTCCTTGTAGACAACCCTGATCGTGCCAAAACAGGGAAGGACAGTCTATTAGAACCTTCTTTGTCAAAACAATTCATGAAATATAAATGCAACAACAACAACAAAAAAAAAAAAAAAAAAAAAAAACCAAGAAACTCCAGATCAAGCAAGGGAACACACAACCCTGGGGGAGCCAGGGAGAGGGGTGAGCAGGGGGAGAGGAAGGGCAAGGGAGGGGCAGCACAGAAAGAGGCTATAAAGGCCACACTGCTGAACTACAAGGGGGAAACCGTGCGATTGCAGGGCATTGTTGCCCAGTTATCCTTCCCATTTCATCCAAGAAAATTTAATCACATTGATCCCTAAAATTACTTATGCACAATCAAGCTAAGTTTTTAGTAAGCATCATTCTCACTCACCAATTTAGAGAATTAACAGCTACATTAAGTTTTAATGCGATGTTTCATTTCAGGATAATCTTTCAAATAGTAATAGAATTAAAATATTTTATGTCCTTATTTTAAAGTAACTTTAAAGTGTCCATTTGGTTAATATAAATTGTTTGCAGCAATTGCAAAAATGTTTTGTTGTTTTGGGCTTTTTTGGTTTGTTTGTTTGTTTGTTTGTTTGTTTTGGGGGGGTTCTTTATGTCACCTTGGATGTCCCATAACTCACTCTGTAGACCCGGCTGGCCTCAAACTTGAAAGGTCCTCCTGCCTCTGCCTCCATGAGGGCTGGGATTACAGGCATGTGCCACCACGGCTAGCCATACAAATGTATTTTAATGAGCATAGGAAACAAGGAAAAAATACTTTTTCTGATCTCATATTATTAAGGAGTCAGAAATTTTAATATGATCATATATTTGGACCTTTATGCATAAATATAGCACATACACAATTTAAATGTAACATTAAGAAGTATTTCCATGAAATATGAAGGATAAATAGGTTCAAAGAACACTGTATACAAGAATATACAAAAAGCAGTTGGCATAAAAGAGTTAAACTTAAAAGCACACAACACTCTCCTGCCATAACCAAAGCCCCTGACAGCAGAGTCACCTACAGCAGAGACAGTACTGAAAACCAGCACGTCCAACTGAGAAGGCAAAGGAATACCCAATGCGCCAGCAGCAGAACAAAAGCGGCCCAGAAGGATGCCCAGGAAGCCAAGAAAGAAGACAGCTTGGAGAAAGAGCTAGCAAAGGCAGAGGCCAAATCGAGATCAAAGAGGATGGAGATAAATCAAAACCACAGCAGAAAGTGAATAGCCATATTGAAATGGTTAAGATTACCCATTTCCATTGCAACTGAGAGCACTATGGGTTTGTCTTGCTTGGGAGGGGAGGGAGGCAGAATGGACCTTTGCAGTAAAACAGACCTGAGTTATCACTTTTGTTGTCTGTGTGATTTGTCTTTTCTTAAGGGCTACACTCACCCAACTGTGGAGCAGGCAAGATTCTAGCTGCACGGACTGGGCCATGTCGTACAGAGAAGAGCTCCTGGGCCTCCCCGCTGATCTGCAGAGAAGGCAGAAAACACCTCAGTATGTTAACACGTGGCTCACAATGCTATAGATGAAAGCAACATCTTAATTTTGTCTTGGTTTGCCAGAAATATACACACACACACACATATATACACACCCACACATTCCATTAGGATTTTAGGCTAGTCATGCACATCAAATACATGCCTATCTTAAATTATCATAAGCTCTTTCAGAATAACATTCTTGGTATGAACTTGAGAAAAAGTCTGTTCTGGAAGTCTGTAATTTGTCTCCGTTAAGCCTTGAGAAGTCTGTGCAGTTCCATGTTAGGATCAGGCAGCTATGAGACTGTTCTGCAATAGTTAAGCTCAGTTACTACAGTCAGTTATGTTTCCAGAACTGTTCCTTTGAGGGCATCATTCAGAGCTATCAGCTACTTTCTTTTGCACTTACAAAACGATGCTAGAAGAAACCTCCAAGATACCTCTATCTGCAATATTCTGTGAATAATACAGTTGTAAGGAAGCAACTTTGGAAGTCATCATTTTCAATATAAACAAAGATCAAACACTGTAGTAATGTCTAATCCCTTGAGTAAAGTCAGATTCAGTGCTTGGATATAAAGACTTCAGTATTCTGTTTCTCCAAAAGGCAAAAGGCGTATGCCAGTACACATTAAGTTTAAAAAAAAATGCATATTAAAATAGAATTAGCAGATAGCAGCTTTCTAGACTGACTGTGGGGGTGACACTAATATGGCCCTCAGCACACTGTAGTTATCAGAGAAAAACAGTACACACTGTAAAACTGGCCCTAAAGACTCAAGAACTTCTAACAGACATGACAAAGAGAAAAACTCACAGAAGACACATACTATCAAATTTCTAATAGGCTTTGCCCAACAAGTGGTTTAAAGTACCAAGAATATATCCATCATAAAAGGTTGTCAAATCTTCCAGATGTCAACTCTGTGCACACTGAGTGCCTTGTACATGACAACTCACATCTTCGGCCTCCCTCCTCTGTACCTTTTAGAGCTGCAAGCTACAGGGTCTTTCTTCCCTGTAAATAAGCGCTGTGCCTGCGGTAACTGAGACTCTGTGTGGCCGCAGCAGCACACCCCATGAGGAGCCCCAACGGACAGCTCAACAACAGCACCACCTAGCCCAGGCTCTAAGAAGCCAGCGGAGCAGGCGGCTCCTGGGCTCCACAAGCCTTCGCGGCTTTCACTTCAATAATGAAACCCACTGCAACGGACACTGCATTTCCCAGGGGGAAAACCTGAACGATTACTTCGTGACACTTCCCATCCAATGCAGCAAGCAGACATTTTTCTGAAATCGGAAACGCACCACGTCTTCAGTGTCTGAACACACAGACGCTCGCGGGGGGAAGCAGAGAGCATGGACCTCTAGTAAAGATGTTTTGCTAGTTCCCAGTCCCCACCTCATGAGAACAAACAGAAAAAGACAACGCACAGGACGCTGACCAAGCCGTTACACTTTGAAAAAAATGCAATATCCACTGGACAAAGATAAGTAAGTCTACTCTTTTATACAATTTTTTAATTTTAAAATAATGTAAAACAGAGGAATGAAAAATCCCACTTGTGAAATTTACACCCCTAACAAATTACAATGTCCACACAAAATCTCCAATTCAGTACTATTATTTCCATGTGCCAGAACTGGCATTTAGTTTTGGCTCTATCAGACAAAACTCTAATGTTAAAAAGTATAACCTTATTTCCCTGATTCTCTGTACGTTATACTAAATATTGTTTAAAATCTGTCTTGCCATAATTACAATATGTTTGATATCACTGAATTTAATACACTAGAGCAGAAAACATAGAAAAGCATTTCAAAATCCAAGCACATGAAGCTTGATAGCAAAACAACTTTCAAAATGAATCAAACTCCCTTTCTAACCTGAACGTGTCTTTACATGTACAGCAGCAGGTGAGGACAAAAAAACCCAGGAGAAAGAGAAAATGCAGCACTACCTTCACTGTGTGTACAGGGCTCTGGCACTGGGAAAGGGAAGGGACGAGGCACTGTCACACAGTGGGCTCTGAGCATCCTCATTGTGTGCTGCTGAAATCAGAAGCGTAATTCTAACTGTGGAATGTCACAAATATCAGCCTCCCGGGAACGAATCCTCCATATGATCCATGAGACTCCTACATGAGAACAACACTGACAGCCTTCCACAAGGAAAGGACGGAGACACACAGGGAGGGTTCCCAGCTGCCTCTAATCCTTTCATCCAGTGTGTTCATGGGTAACTCTGCTTTCAAAGAAATATCAAAACAATGTTAAATCAGTTAAAACTACATTTGTGTCTCCTAGAAAAAAGATGTCAAAGAGTCGTAAGGATGAGGACCCTGTAACCAGAAGAGGAGCTGCAAGTTCACTTTTAAACTGACAACCCAAGAAAGGCAAGGAAGAAGCAGGAGGGCGTGGAGCCAGAACTCCAGCTTCCAGGCACTTCTGTAATGGTGGTGATGATAAAGGGAGAAGGAGGCTCAGGAGGAGACCTCTCCCGGAGCTCCTCCTGTCTCTGCCTTTGTTCTTGCTGGCATTTTAATTTCTGATGACAGACTTTTGTTGTTTGGGGCATAAACCGGACGTACCAGTTTGAAGGCACAATAAGGAGAACAAAGAATGATTTGTTCACACTGTAGAGAAAAAAATCTTTTCCAACCATAGAAAATAGCTTTCGCATGGTGAAAATATGCAAATTACATACCAAACTGGAAGGGGGTAGGGGAATACAAGTTTAGAATCGCACAACTCAATCTACAGAAAAGAAAATTACAGCACCCAAGACAACAATAGACATACAGAAAGATCTGGGAGAGCACTGAGAAAATTTGTGGAGAATTCTAAAATCAAATGAAGGTCACCCAGCCCTCAGAAGTCAGCCTACTCTGAAATCCTGGTGTGGAAAGCTCAGTCCAACACCACGGACAGTGAAAATAGCCTCCGGCCTCCACAATGAATGTGTGAGGCTGCCAGACACACTTACGCTACCTTGCCATGCAGGAACAGGAACTGCGGCTGCCAAATGACTGTTTTGGCAAACTTTCCTGACAGGCAGCAATATATTTTAAATGTACATATCATTAATTACATGTACAGATTAATGAATACTGCAAAAAGCATCTGTGCCACTGACACACATCTCAAGAAAATGAGGGTTAGGCTGGTAGCAAATGCTCAGAAGGCAGAGGCAGGAGGATCTTCTCCACAACGCAAAGGCCAACTTGGCTGACACCTAAGAATCCACAACAGCTCGGGCTAACAGGTGACACTCTGTCTCCACAAAAATCAACAAATAAACAACAAAAAGTTGTGAAAATTCAGAAGGCTTGCCACATTCCTCCCCAATCGTAACCACAATCTTAACTTCTTTGACTAGACATGGATTTTAATTACCAGCCAGTGTAGCTGGAGTCATATAGTATGCTCTTGTGGAATCTCTTCCCCATGACTATGGTTATGACTTAATTCATGTTGATGCATGTCATTACAAAGTTTTTCTTTCTCTAGTGCTACAAGACTCCCATTGGATGAAAAGCTATAATTTTACATATCCCACTACTGACAGGCCTCTAACGCCTTTCTAGTTTGGACCCATCAGAATTACAGCTTCATGGCTCTGTGGTAACACAAGAAAAAGCAGGGCATGGTGGTACACAGCTATAACCCATCACTCCAAATGTTCAAACCTTCAAAATGACAATTTCAAGGCCAGCCTGGGCTGTACAGCAAAATATTGTCTCCAAAAATTAAAAATTAAAAAAAAAAGAATAGATACAGATAAAAAAAAAAAAAAAAAAAAAATCAAAATGCAGACAGGCTGGTGAGCACTCCTAGAGACCAAGGACCAGATCTTATGTTTCTTGATCACAGACTCAAGCTCTGCCTGCTGGGCTGTATAGAGTGAGTTCAACACCAGCAAGACAAATTAGTGAGAGCCTATCTCAAAAAACAATTTTCAAAGAATAAACAGTGGGTGCTAGGATATAGCTCAGTGTGGGAATTCTTACGTAACATGAGTGAGGCTCTCGGTTCAACATCTAATTCCAAGCAATACATATTATACAAATATAAAGTCATGAAAAATTACATAATAATTCACTGATTCTTCCAGTAGACTATCTACCAGATGTTGAGGAGGCCACCATGCAGCCATCTCATTGCATAGCAGTGTGCACCACTTTTTTGGGCTATTTTACAATACTCTGAAGTATCAAAACCTTACAGTAATGATTTTTTTTTTTTTTTTTTTTTTTTTTTTTTTTGGTTTGTAAAAATTGAACCCAGAGCCTTGTACACACCAGGAAGGGCTCTACCATGAACCAAGTCTGAACTTCTGCAACTGTTCCTACTGAACAGACAAGCAAATGAACTTTGGTTTTTTTGACAACTGAACCTACTCTGTAGAAAGCTGATTCAAGGCAGGCGCAGATCCTATACCTACTGTCCCAGCAATTGAAAGGCTGAAGCAGAACTGCTTACTTACAGGCTGGACGCCATTCGCCCAACACAGGAAGAACGTGTACAAAAAGTAAAGCCTAGTAAGCATTTTTCAGTGTGCTCTGAGCCTTTGAAGGGAAGGAAGGATGCTGGAGACTGATCCCAGGTAGGAAAGCAAAGTCACTAAACCTGCTGGGCAGGCAAAGAACAGCAGCGTTACCTTTCAGTTACTACAGAGAGAATATTAATAAGCTTTGCATTGTGCATGACAGGCTCCCTAACTGCCTCCAGCTCTTCTTCACACTGTCCCTTAACTAAAGTTAAATAAGAGCTAGGTCACCTGTCCGTTTTACAGTTGTGTCTAGTACCACTGATTACATGACTATTACTGCGGGTGGCTTCAGTGAATGCAAGTATGTAGCTCTCTGCAGAGACTTATTAGTATAGTTGCTTCTGTTTTCAAGATAATTAAGGAGCTGGAGAGATCACTCAGGTCTTATGAACACTGTTGCTGCTCCAGAGGACCAGAGTTCCCAGAATTGCT